TGCAATTTCTTCTTACTATTGTCATAATGGCTAAGATGGAAAACAAAGCAAAACAAAAACAACCATTGACAAATACTGGCATGGGTGTGAGGAAAAGTAGCATTTATTCACTTTTGAGGGGACATGTAAACTTGGGTAGCCACTGTGGAAATCAGTGTGGTAGTTTCTCAAAAGACTAGAAATAGATCTATGAAATAATCCAGTTATACCATTCTTGTGCAAAGTATTCCATATCTGACTCTAGAAATAGCTGCTTGTTCATATTCATTGCTATTCTCGTCACAATACCCAGGAGATGGAAACACCTGGATGCTCATCATCTGACTAATGGATAATGAAAAGGAGTACATTTACACAACGAAATATTATTCAGTTGTTATGAAAAACTGAAATTATTGTTGCCTAATGCACACATAGCCTGGGACCCTGTACTGCAACCATGGCTCCTGGTTATCTCTTCCTGTCCATTTTGTCTGACATATCTAGCCTTGTGGAATTTGCCAGAAACCATGTGTCTCTTGGTTTGAATCTAATCCCTTCCAGAAGCACAGCAAAGGGACTCATGGCTACTGGCCTGACAGTCAGAGATGTGTCTAAGCTAACAAGAGGTTCCAGATTTTATTTCAACCTTATAAGAGTCATTTCCTGTAGTCAAGCTCAGGGTTGAAATCAATGACATAGAAGTAAACAAACAAACAAAAAATACAAAGAATCAAGGAAATGAAGGGTTGGTTCTTTGACAAAAATCAGATTGATAGACCACTTGACAAATTTAAAAAAACAGAAAATTCAAATTAATAAATTTTGAGATGAAAAGGGAGACATCACAATGTTTACTGAGGAAATTCAAAAAAATCATATATAATTTAAAATCTATATTCTACAGCATACAAGTAATCTTATGGGAAAAATAAGGAACATGGGGGGTTTTAACTAGTGAGTGGGGAGGAAGATAAATATAGAAGAAGGGAAGAGGGTAAAATAACAGTAAGGATTTCTGCAAAAGTCCTAAGCAATCATATAATAAGTTATCTATCAAGAATACCTATAATATATGCAGTAAATGAATATATATGTATAGTTTAAATGAAAATTTCCTATTTGGGCTGACAATGCTCCTCCAAAGAGCCATAGACCATTTAAAAGACAAAACAAACAAAAAATAAGTGGCTTAAAGGAAATACATAAATTTTTGATGTATACAACTCCAACAAAATTAAATCAAGATGAAACAAACAATTGAAACAGGCCCAAAACCCGTAGTAAAATAGAAGCAGTAATTAAGAATCACCCAACCAAAAAAGCCCAGGGCCAGATGGGTTCAGTGAAGAATTCTATCAGACCTTCAAAATACTACCAGCAATAGTTGTCAAATTATTCTGCAAATAGAAACTGAAGGGACAGTTCTTATTCTTTTTATGAAGCCACTACACCCTGATACCAAAAACCACAAAAAGAACCAACAATAAAAGAAAATTACAGAATAATATCCCTTGTGGAGAGAAATGCAAAAAGTCTCAATAAAATACTTGCAAACTGAATTCAAGGAAACATCAAAAAGATTACCAACAATGACCAAGTTGGCTTCATCCCACAGATGCAGGGATGGTTTGAACCAATAAACTTAATCCACTACATAAACAGACTGAAATACAAAAAAAAAAAAAAGATTGCCTCATTAGATGCAAAAAAGGCCTCTGACAAAATCCAATGTCCAGTCATGATTAAAAGTCCTGGAGAGACTAGGGATACATGGGACATACCTCAACACAATAAAGGCAGTTTACAACAAGCCAACAGTCAGCATCATGCTAAATGAAGAGAAACTCAAAGCATTTGCTCTACAATCAGGGACAAGTTAAGGATGCCACTATCTCCATACCTATTCAATATAGTACCTGAAGTCTTTTTTTTTTTTTTTTTTTTTTTTTTTTTGTTTTTCGAGACAGGGTTTCTCTGTATTGTTTTGGAGCCTGTTCTGGAACTCACTCAGTAGACCAGGCTGGTCTCGAACTCACAGCGATCCGCCTGTCTCTGCCTCCCGAGTGCTGGGATTAAAGGTGTGCGCCACCAATGCCCGGCTAGTACCTGAAGTCTTAGCTAGAGCAATAAAACAACTGAAAGAGATCAAGGGGGATACAATAGGAAAGGAAGGAGTCAGAGTATCCTTTTGCAGGTGGGATGGTTTTATATGTAAAAGACCCTGTTGACTCTGCTGATAAACACCATCAGTAAAGTAGCAGGATACAAAATTAACACAAACATTAGTAGCCTTCCTATATACAAATGGCAAACATACTAAGAAAGAAATCAGGGAAACCATACCTTTCACAATAGCCTCAAAAATATTTTGGGATTACTCTAACAAAGCAAGTGAAACACTTGTATAATAAAAACTTAAGACATGGAAGAAAAAACAAAAAACAAAAGATGACACCAGAGGGTGGGAAGATCTCCCATGTTTGTGGCTTGATAGGATTAATATTGTAAAAATGGCCATCCTACCAAAAGTCATTTATAGATTCAGCAAAATCTTCATCAAAATTCCAACACAGTTCTTAACAGAAATTTTAAAAAGATTCTTCGACATCATATGAAACATAAAAAAGTCCTAGGATAACTAAATCAGTCCTGAAGAGAAAACAAAAACAAAACTCCTGGAGATATTACCATCTAGATTTCAGGTTGTCTTTCAGAGCTATAGTAATAAAAACAGCACAATATTTGCGTAAACCACACGTGTTGGTCAGTGGAGTAGAACTGAAGACCTATATGTAATTCTGCACACCTGCTATTTTGACAAAGAACCCATTGATCCAATGTGGAGAATATGCACCATCTTCTACAAGTATTGCTACTCAAACTGGACAGCTGCAGGTAGAGCGGCATAAATAAACCCACATGTATTAACTTGTACAAAAATCAGCCCCAGATGATCAAGGACCTCAATGTAAGGCCATCTACACTGAACCTGATGAAAGACAAATCAGGGAAAGGGTTAAATTCATTGGAAAGGGAAAGGACTTTCTGGACAGACACCAATAGCATAATCATTATGACCAAGAGTTAATAAATAGGACCCTATGAACCTAAAAGCTTCTTACAGGAAAAGACACCATTTAAGCAAAGAAGCTACGTACAGAATAAGAAAACATGTACCAATTATACATCTGATAGATTAGTGTAAAAATATATAAAGAACTGAAACATGTTGGATATCAAGAAAACAAACAACCCAATTAAAACAAAAAAAGACTAGAGAGTTCCCAAAGGTAAAACAAAAATGGCTGAGAAACACTTTAAGAAAAAGTCAATATCCTTAGCCATCAGGAAAATTAAAAGTACTTTGAGATTTTTGTTTTATCCCACTCAAAATGACCAAGGTCAATAAAACAAATAGCAGTACATGTTGGTGAGGTTGAGGGGAAAGGGGACATTTATGTATTGTTAGTATGACTGCAAACTGGTACATCCACTATGGAAGTCAGTGCAGATGTTCCTCGGGAAGCTGAGAATTAATCTATCTCAAGATCTATGTATACCACGCTTTCTATGGAGATACATGCTTATCTATGTTCATTGTTTCCTTATTTGTCCTATTCATAATAGCCAGAACTTGGAAATGGTCCATTAACTGAGTGGGTGATGAAAATGTTATAGTACATTTAAACAATGGCATTTTTTTCAGCTGTTAAGAAAAATGCAATTATGAAATTTGCAAGTAAATAGATGAAACTAGAAACAGTCATCATGAGGAAGGTAACTGGACCCAGACAAACAAACTTCACATGTTATCTCTTATGGATATTAGCTTGTAAGCTTTAGATATATGTTTGGGTTTTGACACAAATACCACAGAAGTTACACAGCTAGTAAAGAACCTCACCTTCCAAGGAAGGAGAAATAGAGTAAGGATTTATGAAGAGATAAAAGGGAAATTAGAATAAGAAGATTAAATTGGGCATGGGTCACAAAGTCTAACCTCCAGCTAAGGTCTTGGCCATTAACAGCTGCTGGGAGATGAAGAATCAGTCTTCCTAAAGTTATGGTCCTCAGTGGTTGACCATGATACAGTAGAAGGCCACACATCTAAAGTATGCGGGCAGCATAAACTTGTATGTGATGTTTTGCTTTGTTATTTCAAGATGGATACAAAGTTAGGAGTTGAATCTGGGAGACCCTATTGAAGATGGGTGGATATGATCAAAATACGTTGTATGAAATTCTCAAAGAACTAATAAAAATGAGAAAATGAGTTAGTGAGATGGCTTAGCAGTTAAGAGTACCTGCTGCTCTTGCAGAGGACCTGAGTTTAGTTCCCAGCATCCAGGTCAGGTGGTTCACAACTGCTTACAGCTTCATCTCCAGTGCAGCTGATGCCCTCTTCTGGCCTCTGAGAGCACTTAAACAAAAACTGCAGGAAATAAAGTACCGCCTCAAATCTGCAGCAGCTTCAGAAAATTCTGGGCATCTGAAGCACTCTAGCGGAGAAGCGAAGCAGCTTAAGATAAGTCATTGTTTACTGCATCATCTAATCACATACAGCCCAGCTAGAAAAGGCAAGTACTCAGTATCCTCTCTGTCTCCCTGGCTTTGTGTAACTGACCGATGAGCATCTCCAGGCCACCAGACCAGGTGTGCCTCAAAATGCCCAGAATTTTCTGGAGATGCTGGCTTCTTTGGCCTGTACTTTACCTTCTCCTCAAAGCTGTACACTGTGCCAAGAAGTGCCATGCCACTGAGAAAGAAAAGAGTCAATAGATCAGCCCTAGAAAGCCCTCCCTGCCTTCTAAGCGTTTGAGTGACCCAGAGAAACTTTTGCAAAGAAACCCATGGCAGGCATGTATAAACTCATGGTGAAAGCCACAGATGAAAGATCTGTCCTTCTAAACACATCATTTTGTAAGTGAGAACTTGGGCCAGGGCTGAGAGGCAGAGAGGAGAGTGCAGGGTAGTTGACATTTAAGTAATGAAATTCCTTCTCCATTTTTTTCTCTTAGCTCAACGACTCAGCCAAGCAACTCATTGAGATGGACAAGCTATGCCCTGCTGCCGCCACTGCAAGCAACTATGATGCCCTCTTGTCCTCTGACCCCAGCACAGTAGCCAGTGTGGCCTCAGGTCCCACCCTCAGTAGCTCAGGGGCAGTCAGTGCCTTTCAGCGACGAGTAGACAGCAAGAAGAATGCCAAGAAGCGTCACTCATTCACTGCGCTCAGTGTGACACACAAGTCCTCACAGGCTGCCAGTCACAGGCACTCCATGGAAATCAGTGCTCCGGTGCTGATCAGCTCCAGTGATCCACGAGCCGCAGCCAGGATTGGGGAGCTTGCCCATCTGTCCTGCCCTGTAACCACCCAGGTAACTCCCAGAGCCCATGCCACTGTCCACGATCCCCAGGGGTCCTATTCTACTGAACTCTCCCAAAGCAAGCCATGCCAGAACTCCTGTGAGTGGCTGGGGCCTTTCCTCGTGGCCAACCACTTGGCATCAAGAGCCTTGTAAAAATGTGCATATTGGCCTCCATGTTGTGAGGTAGCTGCCAGTGGTTCTGGGATACAGCATTGGAGTACCGTTCAGTCATGTTGGAAGTTCCTTACTTGCTGGGATACAGCATTGGAGTACCGTTCAGTCATGTTGGAAGTTCCTTACTTGCTGGTATGGTACTCAGCTTGCTTGTTTGGGGAAGAATCTTGGGTGGGACCTTTTGAGCAACTCGATGAAGTTCCTTCAGCAGAGAAAGGACAAGAGCTGAAAACCAGAATTAGCTACACTGCCATGTCCTTCTGTTTCTAAATGTAACTTTTATTACATTTCCACTAGTATATTTGTAGACTTGAGTAGCCAAAGTAAGATGCTTAAAAGGGCATAGAGTATTAATTGCCTGAAACTCCAGGAAACCTGTCCATCTGGGAAAGTGTCTACTTCATTAACACCAGAAAGGGAGGAGGGGCTCTCTCCTGTGTCATCAGATTTCCGCTGAGATCTGGAGAAGGTAATGTACCTCCTGGAGGTGTGGGCTGCTGTCCTCCCAGCTCAGCATACTCCAGGACAAGGCACTGGAGCAGTTAGAGTGGGGGAGGGCCAGTGCTCGCCCACTCTGTGCCTCCTTACCCCAAGGTCCATCTGCCAGCCCTGCTTTCCTTTCTCTCCGGGGTCACCTCTGTCATGGGCATGCTTCCAAGGTGTGGCACCAGTGTATAGGCTAGTTTGAGGAGGGAGCCAATAAGTAACCGGCTTTATTTTTTCAAAGTTCCAGTTGACTTGGATACATTTATGTGGAGAATCATCTTTTAAAATGGGCTGGAGAGATGGCTCAGCAGTAAGATCACTGACTGCTCTTGCAGAGGACCCAGGTTTAGTTCCCAGCACTCACATGGTGGCTCACAGCCATCTGTAACTCCAGTTCCAGGGGATCCAGTGCCTTCTTCTAACCTCCATGGGCACCATGGTGCACACACACAAATGCAAGCAAAACAATATAACATATTAAATCATATTTAAAAATCTAGTTTTTGAAGCAGAATTTCACTATGTAACTCTGGCTGGCCTGCAATTCACTATGTTGACTAGACTGGCTTTGAACTTGTAGCTCCCCAATGGTGGTTTCTATAGCCAGGACTCCTGGCTGAGCCGTATAAATATCTGAGTGTTACCTGAGGGTCCAGAGAGCTAGTTTTGCATAAACTTTGCACTATAGATGATTTTTATTTACTTATTTACTTGCATACAGGGTTCCATGTATCACACACTGGCTTTGAACTCACTGTATATTAGGAATAACCTTAAACTTCTGAGCTCCCTACCTCCTTATCCCTATCCCTGCTGGGATAATAGGCATCCTCTATTACATCAGTTTCCTTTGGTGCTAGGAAATGAACCTGGAGTTTCATGCATGCTAGGCAAGCACATTAACCAACTAGGACACAACCTTAGTTCTGAGTTTTGTTTGTGTGACTTATAGGGTCTTTTATTTCTTGGGAGACAGCATCTCTCTACTTAACCATAGCTGGCCTAGAATGTATATATAGATTAGGCTGCCATCATACATACTCACAGAGGTCTGCCTGACTCTGACTCCTGAGTTCTTGTATTAAAGGCATGTGTCTCCTCCCCCAGCTACCAATTTTCATATTTTTAAAGAGCTTTAAAATGACAACCCAATGGGGTGGGGTACAGGTGGGGAGTAGAGGGAGAAAAGGAAACCAAAGGGACTATATGGTCCTACATGACCTAAAATATTTACAGCATTGACTTTCTAGGACTGAGGCTATAGTTCAGTGGTAGAACAATTACCTAGCATGGGTGTGACTTGGGTTCAATCTCCAGCACTATAAAAACAAAACTTTATATCTGTTCATTTATAGAAAAGGGCTTTAGGCTGGAATGGCATCACTATTACCACCAATCAAGAAGAAAGAACCATTGTCTTAAGGGGTGGGGGCAGGTGGGGAGAAAATGGTAATCATGTAAGGTTAGCTAAGGTCCAGGCCTTCAGGGCCTGGAATGGGCAGACCGGGATTTCACATCCTGCAGGCCAGTGCCAGGAACAGGAAATGCAGGGAGAATGGCATTTGTGGTCCTCCTCCTGCTGGTGCATTCTAAGAACAGCAGCTTACCTCCTGGGCACCAAATAATCCAGATTCTTTAAGTCCTATGAGAGACAGGGAACTAGGAGAAGGGACAGCTGGGCTGACCATAGGGCTCCCTGTGCTATTATGGCAACAAGAAGCCTTGGTTTGGCAGCTTGCTCCTCCTGAGGGCTTTGTGGGACATGAGGGCAGTCTGAGCTGCGGTGGGACACAGATGACCCCTCCTCTACCCTGACTGCTAGTCCTGCTTCCAAAGACCCTGTCTGTTCCCCTCTTGCCACTAGCATGTTGCAGCTTCCTCATGTTGGATATGCTCAACAACCTTCAGCCTCCCCGTGTATCTTCCGCTGTTGCTAAGATCACAATGCCTGACCTTCCTGCTAACTCTACTTTGTGAGTGTCTCTTCCACTGACCCAGCTTGGGTCTCTAGCCCTCACATAGGTATCTGTGCTCTTGCCTTCTCTTCCTGTTCATACACCCTTGCCTGGCAAGTGTTGTCCTTTCCCAGAGCTGCAGCCAACAGTTAAAACTGTAGACAGGAGTTTAGACCACCGAGGCTTAGTTTTCATTATTTTTTTTTAACTACAGGCTACTTTCTCACTTGCATGATGACTTCATTTGGAAAAGTGCCTCAACTCAATAGATACTAGAGTAACTTCCTTTCTTCATATTACTCTGTGCCTCTATTCCATATAATAATAATAATATAATGCCAAACTGATATCCCATCTTCAAAAATGCAGATTCCTTGCCTGACTACCCCTGGGTGAAGCCTAACCTTTCTGCCTCTGGAGATATCCCCTGCGACATTGGGAGACTCCGCCCCAGGTTGCCTTTCTAACCTCCGCCAATTCAGCCTAGGTCCCATCTATAGATGCACTGCCCACCTTACCCTACACCACTCTAGGAATCCCTTTTTGCTGCCTTTTGTCTTGGTGGTCCACTTACTGCTAACTCACAGGTGCACACTCATGTCCAAACTCCCTTCTCTTGTAACAATCGGAAATGATCACTCCATCTCTTCTGTGTCTGTGGGTCACAGATCAATTCCTGCATTGCCGTCATGCCTTCCAGACTTCCAATACCTGCTGTGGAACCTAATTTGTGTATACGGCTACCCATCTCAGAGACCTACAGGTCCTTGAGGGCAGGGTCTGAGTGTCCTGTGCCTGACTCACACACATTAGCTTTCTTCTTGGGTGGACCCTGTGAACTGTGTCAACAGCACGGTATAGTGAAAGTCCTGTATAAAACAGTGAGATGCATAAAACTCAGCATGTCCTTCTAGAAGAGGACAGCTCCTGTCACTCCCAGCCCACCATGAGCTCCGGATCCATTTTGATGGCTGTTGAGGGGACGCAGCTGTTAAATGTCTAGCCTAGGACTCCCAGAGCACAGGCTTAGGCAGATGCTCAGATGGCCATCCTGCTCATATTTGTATCCTGAAGAATTCTTTCTGCTCTCAAAAGAGGTCAGAGGACTGCTGCTCTGTGTGAATAATGGAGTTGTGTGTCAGCTTTCTGCTGGGGGCACAAGTCTGTCAACCAAAATATTGAGGTAAAAAGCTATTTGGGCTGACTTCATTATTAAAAGTCCAGATGTTTTCTTAGCGATTGCCATTTTGACTGGGGTGAAATGGAATCCTAATTTATCTTTCATTTGCATTTTGCTGATGGCTAGTGATGTTGAACACTTCTTTCATATGTTTATTGGCCATTATATAGTACTTCATCTTTTTGGAACTGCCTGTTCATCTCATTTTCCTATTTATTGAGTGGGTTATTTGATTTCTTGGTGTTTGGTTATTTTTTAGGTCTTTGTATATTCTAACCCAGATATTAATCATCTGTCAGATTTGCAGTTAGAAAAGATTTCCACAAATTCTGGCAAGGAGATGGAGAAAATCCAAGTCTTATATACCTCTGATGGAATTTTAAATTATTCCAGCCACTGTATAAGCCAGCATAGTGGCTCCTATAATAATAATAATAACTGAAACAAAACTGTCAGCTGATCCATCTATCCCACTTCTGAGTATTTGCCAGAATGTATCAGAGAGATACTTGGACGCCTATGTTCATTGCTGCACTATTCACAGTAGCCAGATGAACTGCCTTACATGTCCATCAACAGATATACGAAGACAGTGTGGTGTATGTACACATACATAAAGGATTTTTTTCACATGAATCAAATTACACTGTTTCCAAGGGAATGCATGCAGCTGGAGAGAGTGGTATTAGCAAATTAAGTCAGATTCAGGTAATATGGCATATTTTATATCATTAGTAGATCCTAGATTATATATGTATATACATATATATTATGTTGTATATATGTTGCATGAAAGTACAAGTAGGCCTGTAGGGAATGAAAGGGACTAATAATGAGGAGAATGGAAACAAAAGAGAGGATAGGCAGCTACAGGGAGAAATGTGGTTGAAGCATACAATATACTTGCATGAAGATGTCTTTATGAGATCCAGTACTGTGCATAATAAATATATACCAACTTAAAAATTCATATGTTTGCTTCCACAATTATTTGGATAGAGTTAAGCATTTCCAAGTCCTGTTTCATCACTTAGTGAAGGGTCATGATTTGAGTAATTCATTATTAGGTGACTTTGTCATTGTGTGAGCACAACAGAGAACACTCACAGACTTAGATGGACAGGACAGTCACTTGATTGTGCCCTTCACAATCAAGAGAAACACAGATGGGCCTGGTAGCCCACACCTATAATTCCAGCACTAGGGAAGCTGAA